TTGTTTTGGTTTTTTGCCCCAATAAAGTTCAACCAAGTTGAACAAAGCTATGATTACAAGTATTATTTCTTGTTAGGAGCTGGAAAGCAGGTTTCTTGCAGTTGCTTATTCTCTGGCCAGTGCAGTGCTCCAGGTGGCTCTGATGTTGATGCTGGCTGGGGAATTCTGGGAGTTGAAGTCCACACATCTTAAAGTTGCCAAGTTTGAAAAGCCCTGGTCCAGGGTAACCGGCAAGTAGAACGGAATATCTTTTTGGGAAGGAAAGGATGAAGGAAACTCCCCAGGTGTTTAACTCTTTCCAGGTGTAAACACGAGGCCAAGTTAAATTTATTTATTTATTTGACAAATGTCTATGGCTGCCCAAGTCACACACAGTGACCCAGGGTGGCTTACGAAGTAAAACCTTCTGAGTTGGAACATTTTCAGTTCAAAGGGTGGTTTTGAGAGGAAATCTACTTCATTCAGTCCTCCTTTGCCAGATGTTTGAGGTTCTGACATCCTGCTGATAGGGATGTGTAAAACGGGTGGGGCGTTCCATTTTTCCTCTAGGCCGTACCAATCTGGCCATTTCAGGGATCTGTTCAGTAATCTATTCAGTAATCAGGGATCTAGTCAGTAATTCTTCTAGAATGGTTTGAGAGGTTTCCGAATCCAAAAAATGGACAGATTGCTTCCAGAATGGCTAGATCAGGTTTGTGCCGAGGAAAAACCAAGCAAAATGATATCTTTTCCACAATTTCATGTACCCATTGCATTATTTTCTTTTAAGATAAATGTTCCCTTTTCAGGAAAATTCATTCCTCATTCATATTTGACATCGCTATATGATACCTAAAGCCAAATCATAAGGAGGGCAATTCTTCTTGTACTCCTTCTTAATTGGCTTTATGACAACCCCAAGGAATTGAGTTTGATTGGCTGAACTGTATCATAAAGCCAAATCAAAGTGAGGTGATGCTTTTGCCCTCATTCTTCTGTTGCATTAAAGAGATGAGAAAGACAGTAACACCAAGCCTCATCAGATACATCCCTCACATTTGCCTGTGACATCAGCAACTTAGCAATTTGCTCCCTGAAAAACCACAGAAAGAACTCCCTCTTCTTTGCAACCTTTAGAGGAGTGAAAATGATGTGAGTGAAGCTGCAACGTCTGCTTTTTATTGTATAAAACAAAATCACATTATCAAAGCTTGTACCAAGATCTTCCTACAAGCACAAACAGGGTGTGTATTTCAAAATACTGAATGTCTTCCAGAAATATGTAGGAGGTGTCACAATTAAAAGTTGCCTCCACGATGAAAAAATCAACCTGTGCAGGGTATATTTTAGGAAGAAAAAATTCTTAAAATCACTTTTCCTGACTGCTTCATGCAAGGAAATGCATTTATCAAGAGAAATACTCCCATCTTCCCAGATACACTAGAATTTGTACCCTGTATCCTGTACAGTACAGTACTGTTATTTTGATGAGGTTGAGGACATCTTGCTAGTCCTCTCTCTGACATTTTACTACCCTACCTGTAGGGAGATATTTTGCAGAACAACGCCTGAAAATGTGTGATTTACTCCCACCAGCTTTCTTAAATGGCAGCTATAGGATAGTGCATAAAAACTGTACTTGGTACAAGATGTAAGCATTCAGAACCGGGTGTGTATGTATATGGATATGATATTGATAAATATAGATATAGCACACACTCCTGCAAATCCAGAATAAGGGAGAGTTTCCTTGTGCATTAGCATCCTTGGGATGCTACGAGAGACACATTCCTGAAGATTAAGATTCCCACCTCTAAAATTACTGGTTCTTTTGACCCTCTGTGACACCGAATATGGAACAAAGGAGAAACATCTCTATTCTGTATTAACTACCACACATAGGGGGGAAAAATATAATCCAAAAGGGGAATTAATATCATTAACATAGGATTTGGCTCACAGGCAAAACTGAGATCTTTCTTCATGTTATTCAACAGAGTTATCCTTTTCTAAATGTCTTGTTTATTAAGGCCTTCATGAATTTCATGGCAGGTTATAAAAGAGTCTCTCATGCACTGGGGCCTCATAAGCATATTTTAGTGGGGAATATCATTTACACCTTTTTATATTGTCAATATTATCTCTAGAGAATTAAATTTTGCTTCAAACTACTGTAAACCCACCATTTTGCTCACCTTTGTCTAATTCCATTTTTAACGGAATAAAGCAGAGATAATTGAAGGTTTGATTATGGGATAAACCTAATAAAAAGAGTACATTTATGGCCCAAAGATTTATTTAATCTTCTTGACTATGTAATATGTTGAAAAATGCTCAAAAAAGGAAATATCAATAAGTACAGAATGTTCCCTGTAGGATGAATTTTTGATCCATCTTTTATTTTTCCTATAACCAGCTAGCACAGTACTTTCAGTTAGGGAAAAAGAGTTAGGCAGATTTGGGAAGAAGTACAAATAAGATGGTTATTAGTATTTAAACTTGTATGCTGCCTGATTCCCAAAGAAAACACCATTGCATTATAGGATTTGTCACATGGGCATTTCATGGTCAAATACAGATGTAGACCATCTGGGTTGGGATCACACCACCATATTGCTGGTGGTGGGTGATGGAAAACCTGGAGGTCATCAAGTTACTTGACCCTATCTCTTAACCACCGTGGTATCATTTTGCTGCCTCCCTGGTTGCCCCCGATTTCTGATTGAGGAGGAGGGAGTGGGAACAGTTCCATCATGATAACCCCTTGATATCAAAACAAACCCTGCAAAGCTGCAAACTACTAAGAAAAGTGATTATCCAGTGAAAAACAGGATGCTCACACATCCTTCTCAGCCACCTCATATTTAACGTAAGGCTGAGAAGCCCATCAAAATGTCCTTCTCCTTTGAAAGAAATATTGAAAGGAGTTTTTTCCCCATCACATTGAATGATAGTAGTTGAAAAAATCGAGTTCAATGCTGAATGCTATCACATGAGAAAGAGACAGAGAAGGAGGTTGGCTTTGCACTCTTCCTAAGACACCAGTGTTGCTCTTCTCCACAACTGGAGATTGGAGTGCTGTGTTGGGGATTCAGTTCTACTCATGGAATCCTAAACTGCCAAGTTTTCTATCCGTGGAGAATGCCAACACTGCAGAAACAGATCTTCCCAAAACATGGGAAGTGAATGGCAAATCACATTGGAGTGGATAGAAAGAGAACATCTAAACTTTTTTTTAATTTCTAAGTGCCTCCAAAGTCCAGTTCTGCTCCTCCCCACCACCCTTAGTTCCCAGGCTCCTGGACATTCCTCAGGCATTAATTTGTCCGTGATATCTATTTGTGTTTATGTTCAGGCCCCATATTAGATCATCACTGTTCCAAGAGTGCAGGCCTTCTTTAAAACATGAAACATTCAATTACTAATTAGCTGTTTCCTGTTTGTAATGGAGCGAACATGCTGGATGTGGATTAAAATTCAGCTCCTCCACTCATCTGTTTATAGTTCCAGATGTTTTTGTTTTATCTAGGAGTTTACTTTGACAGCTCCCGTTAAATGATAAATCACTCATATTATAGCTGAAATGCATTTCAAAATTGAAATGGAACAAAACTTGGCAATTGCTCCAAGGATATGTGTCATTTAGCTGGTCAATATAGGTTGTGTCCTAGTGTAGAGTTGGTATTGGCACATGCAAATCAAAAAGGAGAGATCAGTCAATTCTTGACACACGCTTAGGTTGATCATTTTACTATAGTTTCTAAAATTAGTAGTTAGTGATAGAATTGCTAGGGCTTTAAATCTATTCTCATACAAAAATAGATGCAGATTCTTTCGGCTCTTCGTAATGCTTTTATTTTTTCCTTTGACCTTAAAAGATCATCTTCTTTATTTTTAGCGAAAAAAGTAAATGTCTCTTGATTTGGTTTGGATTGTCAGTACGAGAGGAACAGACAAAAACCAAGGAGAGGAATTTTTGCTCTAATAACTGTGCATCAACAATAACAATAATAATAACTCTTGCAGATGGCCTGGGCAGGTGATCATTATAACTAAATTTGTTTCATATTATCCTTATTTACCCCATTCACTCATTACCATTTCAGTAGTACATTTTTCGTATTCCAGATTCTTGTTCCCTTTTTGTTCCACGGAAAATAAGTTACTAAAGAAGAATGGCTTTGGTACTTGAGCGATTTTCTAATTTGCAAACAATCAGGAAGCATTCAAGGCATGTTGAGGTAGTGTTGGGCCTCCTGATGGTAGATTTGGATGCAGCCGCTGGTTTTCTTTCATTTAGTTGAAACATGAATCCAGGCACAAGGAGCGGCTTTATTATATGGGCCAACTAATGTGTAATGTTCTGCCGGAATGGGGAAAAAGTGGTTGCCCCTCCAGTCAGGAGACACGTCGTATGTCTGGCCATAAGGGATGAATGTAAAATCATGTTGAGTTCATTGCAACAGATAAACAACTATGTGCATGTTCACTCACATGGAATTGTGACTGTATATCTAACAGATTGTGCTCTAAGTTGGACTTTTTTAGAGGCACATCAGAATGTATGACCCTTGACACTATCTGTCATGTCATGTATGTGGTATTCCTAAAAATTGACTTAGATTCAAGCTTTCAAGAACTTCAAATAAAGCCAGTAGAATTGCAATATTCTTTTCTTTTCTTTTCCAGAAAACAGAGCATACATCAAACCAACCATTATGTACTGAAGATGCCTAATATGACATGTTTGTGTGGGGGGTGGGGGTGGGGGACATATAACAGTCACTCTGAAGATTATATAACTCCTGCAAGAAGTCTCTTCTAACCCTTGATGCCTTCAGTGCTGTGTGAAGACCCAGACTGGTAACATTGCAATATGGACACTATCAAGGAATCTACAACTCCTGTGTTGAAAAATTGCTGAATGGTCACTGAGAAATATTGAGACTTACAAGCTTTGCCATACCAAACCTTTTGCAGCAGAACATTTTAAGTCCCAGAAAACAGAATGGGGAGGAATCAATTTTAGCATTTTTAAGCACATATAGCTATGATTCCCTGGAAGATAGTCTCCGTGGGCCTCTGCAGGAGGAGCAAGAGGGGGCAAATGATGACACATCTGTTATGATGTCATAATGCAAATTACGTATGTCATCACGTCATTACATATTCACACTGGTTTTGCAATGATGCTATGACACGTGTGTTCTCATTTTGATGTCATCATGGCTTGTTATGGTGCTGCAGCCCCTCCAAGCATTTACTATTACCACAGCCTTCCCCAACTTGGCACCTTCCAGATGTGTTGGGACTACAAATCCCAAAATTCCTATCCAGCTTAGCCAATGGAGTATATATGAAATGAACCAGGTTGAGGATGGCTGTATAACTGTTTAACAATGGCACAATTAATTTAATAAGCTGCAGTGGTTCTTTCTGGCTGTAAATCCTACATGTCCAGTTTTATCACTAAAACAGTTCACCACAGAGCTGTTTCAATTGTGTTTATAAATTTAAGCTTTGTTTACTGAAGCTGAAAACTCAATATATATTACGTTTTGAAGAGAAAAGTATGTACATTTTTTAATATGATGATAATGTAAAAATTGTCCTTCCTTGGATGACCAACTAAAAAGTGTGAACTAAACCCCAATACTCAACATAATGAGGGGATTATAAAATTGATGCTTTTTTAAAAAAATAATAAATCAGTTCTGCTTGGTTTTTGGTCTTTTCACACAAGGGACGAGGGAAGGATGAACATATGGTAGGATGTTAGATAATGGAAACTTTAAAATATAGTTTCTCTGTTGTATCATATTAAGTTAAAAGTACACATTCTTTGTTAAAATGTTCTTGCTAAAAACTACAGTATTAAAACATTTTTGTTTGACTTTGGAAATGGCTTGATTTTTTAATCATATTTTTAAGGCTGGATTATGGTTACCAGATGTCATTCATTTCACATTTTCAAGCAAATCAACTGAATCTACTTTTCGAGGACTAATATACCCATTGAAACATAGTAATCTTTTGGTGTTCGCACTTGTTCAAATTTTGCAAAGACTACTCACAAAAATTACAGAATTTTTTTTTTTAATTTTATTTTAGGATTCAATGCATAGGAAAAAAGTATCCTTTAAAAATACTCTGAAAAATTATGCATTAAAACCTTGATTTAATAGATCATTCGGAGGAAGGGAAAGGGCGTCCATGAAATCTGAAAATCTGTTCTATCCAAATTTGCATCATTTACATCAATTCAGCCTGTTTGCATAATTACGTCATACACATTTAGTTACAGTATTAGATTTATATCCCACATATTGGATCTCAAAGCACTTATAGATCGTGCTTCATCCTCCCGTTTTTCTTCAGGTTAGGCTGAGAATGACGGGCGAAAAGTCATATCAAGTCCTTCAAAGCTGGTGAACTCAGGAAACAAGAACCAGGGGATTTCTGCAATGATCTGTACTGCCAGGAGGGTAACAGAATCTTGACAGCAATTCTCCAGATCAATTTATACCTATCGTAATTATGGCACAGTTATTCTGAGTCTCTCTTCAGGTTTCCCCAGCTCCCCTGAGCTATGGAATCTTTTTGGTGTCAGTTTTCCTCTATGTTCCCAGGTTCTGCTAGGTGTTCCCTCATATGTCACCCTTGGACTTGTGGGAGAAAGAACCTGGGTTTCCCCAATGCCAGTCCAGTATCTTAATTGCAATACCACATTGGCTAAAAATAGCAAGGAGCAGGCAGCCTACAAACATGGATAAATAAGTAGAACTTCAATTTCATGGGGGTGAAGTCCAAATGAAAAGTTAGTCCTTTGTATCTGAAGATACATAATTAGACATAATTTCCTGTACATTCTGTACATTAATACATTTTATTAATGTATCCATATCTGTACACAATTTTTTATACATTACAGAATGCCCCTTTTTACATTTTTTGTTAAATCAGGACTGCATGGGAAAACTTGAAGCACTGAGAGAAAAATTCACTATATTTTGGCTTGAGTTTCTGTAAAGACAATTTAATTTACTTGATCTGTATTAAATACAAAGTTTGCTGCTTCCCCTGCTGTTACCTTGTGTGGGGTATACCCTTCGAGACTTAATCACATACATGACTCCCCAAAGTTTTGGATTTGGCCCCCACGTCACTGCAAAAGTTGTCACCAAATTGATTTTTTTGCTTCCCCTGTAATAATTTTCTTCTGCCGTTGCATTGATCGTAGTAACTATTTAATTTTTAATTAATTACTTTGAAATGTAAAATAAATAAGTTAGGTTTTGCTCTGGAGTTGCCTACTACTTTCATCTGCCCTGATCCCATCACCTTCCTTAATGGTGGACCCAACACACCAGTTAAAGATAGAATGTGACTCTTGTCTCTCTGAACATTGTGAAGTCCAACGTACATCATAGTCTTAACTTCTCAAAAGCTCAGAGAAGGGTTAATAAAAAACTCAATATTGTTAGAATTAAACAACTCATTTCAGAACCCTACCCATACTGCAGAGCAAATGTGATTGTTTTAAAAGATAAGTCATCTTAGCATTCTTCTCCTCCTCAAAGACCAAGCTACTACATTTGTATTAGCTTGGTGAACACTTCATTGATTTCCTCATTTGCCCTTGCAAGAATAGTTTTAAATGTCAAAGCACTGGCAAATGAGATTTAAGGAACCAAGAAACTCCAGAGAAGGAATCTATTGTAGAGTTGTTATTAGCTAGTGCCTGATAAATATTGACTAACCAAAACATCAGACTTTCATATCTCAAGCTGGTGTGATGTGCATACTGGTAAGTAATGTCACATTTGAAGGATATGGAGAAAGTTAATTCATTGAAGAAATGTCTAATTTAAGAATCCTAGCTAGCTGCTGTAGGTCTAAATAAGATGTCCAACCAGGTTACAATGATCAAATATCTAGGAGTCATTCTCCAGGCATCTGGCAGTTGCGCCACTTACAGAGACCATATTGTGTAAACTTTTCCATGGCCAATTCCATAACCACCTTCCATCAAATTAGTGGTGCTTTCTTCATCCCAGAAGCCATAAAGCTCTACTCAGCCAAAGTAATTCCCCATTTATTGTATGGTGCCCAAGTAGGACTGTACTGTAACTCTGTCCCTTTAGAGACAATTCTGTCTAAATTCTTATGGAAAATATTCCAAGTCCCTAGAAGGTTCCCAAATATCTGAGAAGGGAAGCTGGGCTGCTGAAAATAAAGACAATTGTGAGCCCAGCCTTTCTGCTTTTTTATTTTATTTATGTGTGTGTGTTTTATCAAGTTGGCCTGGTTCAACATGCACTAGGGAATAACTCCATCATACACTGGACAGTAATGATGGAAAACAAACTCCATTCATTAGGATTATCTTGGGCAGGCAGACAGAATGATGAACATATTAGATATAGAATAGCAAAATAGCTCCACCTCCTTACCTAAACATCTCTTCAGCAGCTCTGGCCCTATGGGGAAACCAGTGAGTTACCTGAACTATAAAACAATACCTAAATTTAGAAGGTTCCTCACCCTGGTTGGGGTTTATGCTGTGCCTACTGGAAGGGAAATTCAGAAAAGTTCATTATAACAATTATGTCCTTCTAGATCAAACACAGTAGAATCCCTAAGTCATGTTTTATTACACTGCTTCTACAGAGATCTTTGGAACAGGTACACTGCACCTGTTTTAGTGGCCTTCCAAGCAAGGATGGACCTTTTTTTTAATATTCAACTACTGTTGGCTGATGAGTACAACACTCTTGCAGTGGACAAATCTGCTCTGCTGCCTTTAAGATTAGGAGCCAAATTCTGATCCAACAAGAGAAATACTCTGCCCCTGGATAAAAAAAAAAATCCTAATTGCTTTCTGTCTTTTCTTTTTCTTTTAGTCAGCCTTTAAACAACAACAACAACAAAAACATGGCTTTTCTTTTATTTTTCTTTCTGAATATTTTGGCCTATCAACCTAAGTTGAATTTAAAAAAAAAGATGTTCAACCCATAGAACCGTGTTCATTTGAGTTAAAACCCCAACTTGTGTCTCCAGAAGCTCAGGAAAAGTTAAATGTGCACCTATTGGCAATCTGAATGAGCATTATGGGTTCCTAGGGCATAGCTTTAACACGATCACGCTTCTCAGGATACTAGATGAGCACTCCCCCAAATATTACCATCCATGTTCATTTGCTCCTTCAGCTTTCAGTCACAGTAGATTACTTATGCATAGCATGGGTGAGTTCCTTGCTCATCCAATGATGCCTTTTGTGATCTCTTAATTTCCGTAAACCAGGTTTGACCCTGGAATTACCGCTAAAGGAATTGCACTTGATTGGTACTTTAATGACAGGTTCAATGGAGAAGGCATTAAAGGCATTAAAATATGACAAAAGCAACAATATCAACACAAACCTGATTCAGCAAAGTGTACTTCAACTGTAATTTGTATTTGTCTTTTTTGCTAGATGGATGATGACAGTGACGATTATATGCCATCAAGTCGCTGTCAATGCTTAGCAACCACACAGATTTTTTTCCATGATGCTCTGCCCCTAACCTGGTCCTTCAGCTCTTCCAATGGTCCACCCATTGCCACTGTACTGAGTCCATCCACTTTGTTGCTGGTCATTGTCTTCTTCTCTTTCCTTCCACCTTTCACAGTATTAGAGCCTTGATGTGATGGAATGTATCTACCAGGAGGAGAGCGATGTGGGAGATCAAGGCTATCAGGAGGGAGGGGGTGCATTCCAGAAAGGGAAAGGAGATAAGAGACAATGCAGTCCTCAAGGGGAGTGTGGGAAGCACAAAAGGTTCAGGACAGCCACTCCCTAGACTCTCCCAGGCTATGTCCACTAGTTGCTGTAGTATAGATTTTACTTTGGCAAGATTCTGTCTATAAGGTGTAAGCAAATAAAGGAACTGTACTCAACTGGACTGTTTCACCATTATTCATGGGCTGGGCCTGATGCTTCTCCAGAGAGCTGGGTCTTCACATGTGTCTGAAGTAGGATAATTTGAGCCTGGTCATTTGTGCTGGAATGGCCCTAAAAATATTGAGGAAGATGCCTTCTTAGAGAAGAAACTAAGCTGTATGCTTCTGCATTCTTATTAGCTTCTGCTTGCACTACTTAATAACAAAACTACAAATCATGATAACATTTCATCAAGAACAACACTACTTCTAGCTGTCTAGTTACCTCGATCCCAAACACTTTAAACAAAGTTCATTTCTTCTCCATTAATGTGTTGAGGGTTAGGCTAAGTACACATGAAAGACATAAGGAGCTATAAAGTTCAGGGACTGGCACAGAAGAAAGATCAATTTGCTAGTATTCAAATTACCAGCAAACCAAATGACCCATAACTGGTCTCTTGTTACTGTTATTACAAATGGTAACACGATGCAGTGGAACATCACCTGATATAATCTGGAAAGTAGGAGGCTGACTGAGCAGCAGATTACAAAAGAACAAGAATCAAGTTGGAGTTGAGTCTGTTGACCTTTCTCCACTTCCTTGGCAGATCAATCATACTGACTTGTAGTTATTTCCTTTATTTGCTTATGCACAAATGTACATTTCACTTTTCCTTTGAACAAACTGAAGGAGTGACTGTTTTAAACAATCCCATCTGCCTGTTGCAATCCTTTGCACCATCCCTTCTAATTTCAAGAGTAACAGTTCCAGGTATACTATTTCTGAAGCGCATAAATCCCACTGGCCATCAGATGGCTGCAAATAGATACAAAACAGTGTAAACTATTTGTCATCATCTAGTAGTCATCCAGAGTTTTGTAGCCTAGATATGGGACCCCTGCCTAATGGGACAGTGGAGCTAACGTAGATCATTGGGTTTGGGGGAAATTGTCAGCTTTGAGCTACTTGGAAG